CAGCAGGAAAAACTTCTTTACCAAAACTTTTCCTCTGGATTAAGGTCACACAGAACTGCTCACTACCAAATCAGGTAGGTAACAGTGGTGGCCTAAGGGAGGGAGCAGAAACACATGGAAAGAAGGAGACAAGGGGGGCAGCATCCTACTCTTCAGAGGCATTAGACTGGCTCAACCATGTCCTAAAATGACACTCTCAATTCCCTGGTAAAATCAAGTGCAGGACAGAAGCAGTAGAGGAGGTTCAGGGTTTATCTATCCTAAGGCCAAGTTGTCCAGGTCCTAAACTCAGCACAATGAGTCTTCTCCTTTCTCTTCTTTCTGAGAACAAATCCCAAAAGTCTCATTCCAGCTTGAACCATTAGCCCTGATCAACATTTAAAGGAGAGATCCCACAGGAATACTGAGCTACTTCCATCCGCAGTGGCATTTTCCTGTACAGAGGCTGGGTAGGTAAAGCTAAAACAGACTGAGTATATAAGTTTATCCTTTAACACAGATCCCTGTCTTCCTGTGTTCTTCAGGTGGGAGAACCTATCACACATTTTTAGGGCACTAAAATCATACATTTATGTGGTGCATGTCACATTAGGTAAGGAACAAAATAAGATTTTCCATGCAGATGTTATCTACAGGCCTACAGCTCTTTGGCAAGTATCTCATAGTATATTTTAGGGTAGATGCTGTTTTAGTAAAGCCTCCTAAAAGTAAAACTTGATTGAAATTTATGTTAGAAAGGAAAGAGGTAATGTTTTATAGGCTTCCGTCTCTAATTTGGGTCTTTTCAGACAGCCTTTTTTTACAGCAAATTAACACATTAAGATGAAGCCAAGCAAATCCATGCTTGTCTTTGTCCTCAGTGCCCGCAAATGCAGATGTGAGGAGAAAGACCTAATTTCTAAAATAACCTCCACTTAAGGGGAGGAATATCTTCCAAAAAAGAGAATGGTGTTGGTTAGGTTGTGTCTGATAAAGAAGAGGAATGGATGGTCAGCTTTGAACTCATAAGAAATGGGACGACACAGAGGCATTGCAACAAGTCCTATGCCACCAACTGCTTCAGTGCCCTCTTCGTTGACTTCCATGAATGACTTCTGGATGGCTTTGGAGACAACTAAACCATCTTTCCCAGAGATTCCTGACAAATCAGCTTTTCCCCAGTCAAAAACATTCATAATTCCCATCTCCTGGAGAGTTTTGTCGAGAACGTAACTTTCCTCCATCTTGAACTGGGGCAGATACACCTTCACTCTCAGTGGTTGCATCCTGGTCAAGCTGGTCCATGCTGCTAGTTTTTCATGTGTGAGGCTGCGCTCAAGCTGTAAGGCAGTATTGGTAATGATGATTGACACCATATGACCACACTGGAACACAGTTAAAGTATTGCTCTGTGTGCAGCCCCTTATGATTGCTACTAGGGAGAAAAAGTAAGTGTTACCTGTTCTAGGCCAGTACAGTCCTCACAGACAACTTCCGGAAGAAGAATGAACATGCTCAGCTCATTATTAAAGTATGGGAGCTCTATTACTTTCATTTTCAATTCGTCTATGATGGCCATGTTAAAATAACCTTCTTGAAACATCATCTGCACTGTCTTTTTCTCATTCTGGAACACATGAAACATATTAAACTGAAAATACAGAAATGTTCACTGTGCTTGCAGCTGGTTTCAGTATTGAGATAAGACTTCAGTCCAACAAATATCATTTACACTGGTCGTGGGTTTTATGTATTTGTAGCACTGATGTGTTCTTCCTTCTTAACTATAGTTCCAATGAATGTATCCATCTTAGAAGCATAAAACCTACTTTTCCATTCCTACTGGTGCCAGATGACTTTACTCACAACTCCCTTTTTATGTCATTCTTTTTTCTGCCATGTCAGATGAGGAGATAGGTGCATCTGATGTAACCATGAATCTAAATTCTTCATGAATAATGTATAAATTCTCCTGAGATAATTTGTCTTTTAGCTCATTTTTTTTTCCTGAAAAAAAACACTGTGCTATTGGTAAATAGTAGCAGAGGAACAGAATCCTCATATTTGGGTCCAAAAGCAGGCTGGTTTTGAAACAACATCCCTAGTTGCAAAATCCCCAACAAAGTTAGTGCATCTGCTCAGTCACTTTGACCCAACAAGGATTTCAGTTGCATGAGAGCCACTTCTGATGGGAGGTGATAGAAACAGTTACATGTTTGGTCAACAAGCTGGAGAGCTTATGTAGATTTGTTCTAGCTGAAGACCAGTGTCTCATCTTGGGATAACAGAGAAGAGGAAAACTCCTACCTGTTGTTACAGGAGACTGACATCTGATTTCCAACCTCAGCTGTTCCTGCTCCTGCTCATACTGTACCTTGTTCAGTTGGAAATACGTTTCTTTAGTGTCTTCTTTCTTAAATTCTACTGCCCACTTTCCTTTAAAATATATGGCATTGACCAGGACAAGAACAGTGGAGGGATCAATTAACTCAGCAGCAAACAGGTCTTTGATTTTACCTTTAAAAATAATGAATTAAGAAGAATTATTACTTTGTTCAGGCAGTCAGCAGCCTTTGACTATTAATAACTACTGCTGCAAATCTGAAAAGTAGTATAATGCTGTCAAATAACAACAAGTCTATGTGCAGCTTTTGACGCCAGGAACTCAGGACATTTTTGTACTTCTTCCTATATTTCTTCCCTATTGAGCAAAAAAAATGCAGTAAGTATTAAATATAAAAAAATGTTGCTATCCTTCAATGAAAAGGTGAGAACTGCTATTCAGACATAATATTCCTAACTGATTGGATAGCAATCCAAACAACTCACACATAGTCTTCTTTACCATTTGTCTCATTTTCCACCCAGAAGTTAATCTTCTCTCTGGCTTCTTCTTCAGTGTATTTAAAATTGACTGCTTCCAGTTCTGCTCGATAGAATTTCTTTGTGGAATCCAAGTATTGCTGGAAAGTAAAAAGAGGATTTTATTGCAACATGACAATTTTAGAGAGATAAAAAAAAATACATTTGCAAATATTAATTTTTTTTCTGCATTTTCAAGCTGTACTGAGCAGCAGAAATGTCTCAGTGCTGTAAAAAATACCTAAGATCAAAACCTGGTACCTTGCTGTAAGCTTATATATTGTTAAACTGCCTGATTTGCCCCAACCATCAAGTGAAGAAGTTTGCCTTATTTTGAACAAATAACCAGGACTGATAATATCACAAGATGTGCATGTGTGTTAGTCTGTGTAGATGCATATGCTGTAAAACTTATAACTTGTATTAAGTATAAAACTTTTTCAGGCTGTTCATCACCCTTTTCTGGCTCTGAAGATCTCTGTTTACCCAGAGTGCAAAGTTTGGGAAACAAGGTGAAATCTTGACTTGAAAAGAGGTGATTACAGAGATAAAACAATGCTGTTTCTAGCTATACACTTATAAACACCTTAAATCTGGTTTTCCAAGGAAATTATTTATATGCCCTTGTATTACTTGGGCTGTCTGTATTCCACAGCAATGTGCTGAGATGGTCAATGCCACTTTAATTAGAGTAATTACCAAAAATCTCAACCATGCATCTCTCTTCTAAGCCTTGTTAAGGAAATGTGGATGAGTGAGTAAAAAAAAATTTTTAGAACACACTCAAGGAGAAAAATAGTCTGCTGGTCATGGATCTTTGTTCCTTGGATAAGATTGATGCAGCAAGTGCAGCTCTGTTGTACACAAGGTGTGTGGCAAGGATATGTTGACAGTGAGTACTGTTAACAAGTTTTCTGGGAAAACTGTTCCCACAGATCTGTTTCTTTACCTAAAAGCTTTTAAGTCTCAGTTTCCCAGCTCTTTGCTGTTCCCCATGTCTAACCACTGGGCAACTGAGACGGGAGGGCTCCTGGACTGCAAGGGCTGTGGAGTGCAGCCACTTGGCAGCACATCTCGACTGCACCATTGATTCATTTCTGCTCTGACTTCATGAGGGAAGATGCTCTGCTGCACTCTTAACTCCCAGGAGCTGTTAAAATGGACTCCACTTACCTGGAAGAATGGGTAAGTAATTTCTCCAAAGAGCCTGTTGGCAATGGTGAGAGAGCAACCTGGTCTGGGTTCACTGATTGCAGCCAACAGAGCCTGGAACTGGGAATGGACTTCTTCAGCTTCTTTGCACTTTGAGCAGGAAAACAGAAGTTTCATGGTAGGCTTTGAGCTTTCCTGTGCCAATCTGGACCTGTGGGTGAACTACAGCCTTGCTCTGCGTGAGAAATCTGGCTCCACCCAGTTAATTAAGGCATTGGAATAAATGCATCAGGACACCACCTCCAACTCCCCCTGTACCAGATGTATGGAATGACAAACCAATTCCCCTTCAAGCCCACACTAGTCCACCTACAAATCACACTGTACCCTAAAGTGCACACTGAGCAAATACCTGCTGGGTTAGATCCTGGAAGGAGCAAGCTCCACAGTATCTTTGGCATACCCTGTAGACAAACCTTTGCAGGTGGCAATTTAAGCACTTATCACAATTTAGATTAGTACTGTGTGTTTTTATTGGAAACCTGTAATGAGAAGGCTTAGCTGTTGACATGTGTGATCTCACAAGGCCCCTTAAATAACTAATAAAAGAGCAGTAATAAGCAGGTATGTAAATCTAGACAGAGAGGCTGCTCAGCCCTGCCCTGCTTTCTGATTAAGTGATGGTTTGCAAGGAGAAGGGTTGACAAACTAGCACCTGTTTCTTCATCTCAGAACTGCAGCTGTGTCTTACCTTCTCAGAAGAATATTGACTTCCCTGACTTGTACTGCTCAAAACTTCACTGAAATGAAATACCTGCAATGTAAATGTTGGATTAATGCAGCTGAATTATGGTAGCTCGAAGCTAAAAGAGAGTGTTGCAAGCCTATTCCAAGAAGCAGCCAGACACAGTCAATGGAGAAAGTCCTGTTTGTCCTTGATTATGAGATCCTTGAAACAAAACAAGAAGGTTTTGTACAGGATGAGCTTATTAAGTCTTTGAAATCTTTTCCTGTAAGAGAGAAGACTTTGGGTATCCAGACCATATAAAAGGGAATCACCACTTCTGAGCCCTGGGGAGTTGAGGGATATCTCCAGAAAGTCTCCTTTAGTATTGATGTATTTATTGAATGATCAATTACTGTAATACTGTTCAGTCTGAAAAAGTGTGATATTAGGAATAGCATAAGAGAAGGTATTTTTAAAGGGTTGTCTGCATCACTCCTTTGAATGTTTAGGAACTATATCCAGTGGTACTACCAGTCTCTTGACTTGTATCTTGCCACTGTCCTCTTTTCACAGCAAAAGAAACCCACCTTTTCAATCTGTTTGAGTGTGTTTCCCCTGGCTCCAAGGACAACCATCCCAAAGGCAGCTGAGAGACTTAGTGGGGAGAAGAAGATGTTTTCATTTGTTTTTCTTTTGCTCAGCTCTCTGAAAAAGTCAAGACAGAACTTGGCATTGGCTGTGCTGAGAGAGCACATTGTGGTGCTGTGATCACCTGCAACAAGGGAAACAAAGATTTAGGCTGCTCATCCTTACACCTGCTAAGTTTAGATCCCTTGGAGCATGGTCCCTTGGAGCATGGTCTTCTGCAGTAGTGTGGCTGAATTGTTCAGCACTTCATGGAAGATTCCTGATTCATCACATCTGGCATATCACAGTGAATCTGAAAACCAACACCCTGAACTGCAGGAGAAACACATTTTCAGAGACAATACTCTTGAGTACAGCTGTTTTCCCAGCTCAGGCAATAGCTATGGCTTTGTCACTTAGTCCTAACTTTGTCCTAAACCACAGTCCCAGTTCACTATATCTCCCAATCTTTCTTGCCCCAAGTACTCGAGATATAATACTTATTAATTACACCATTTGATCATAACTCACTCTCTGTATCTCTCTCTAAAAGCTTTGTGTGTATTAATCAACTGAGCCTCACATACTGTGTCCTTCTCAGGCTGGTTGCTTAACAAACATTTGGAAGAAAACTGAGCTACAGATATGCTCAATTAACAAGATTTAAAAATAAAAAAATAAAAAAGGCACATTGTGTATTAGCAGAAAATTCCAATCATGTTTTTCTTAATTTATCTGCAGCTTTAACACTTTTCCTAGATATACTTCACTTAAAATCACAATTATACTAGCAGGTGATCTTTAATGTTCTGCAAAACTCTTCACATCTTACACCTAGAACAGACTTTCCCATGAAAGCCTTTTCCCAGTGGCTTATCCAATAAAGTCATGTAGCGACATCTGATCCCTTAGAGAGCCAGTTCAGTATTTTAGAGTTACCATTATTTTGTGTTTTTCTGTTTCCACCATTTTGTGTTTTTAAATTTCCACTATTTTGTGTTTTTGCTGAGTCATAGAATCATAGAATCTTAGGGGCTGGAAGGGACCTCGAAAGATCATCTAGTCCAACCCCCCGTGCCAGACCAGGGTCACCCAGAGCACATCACACAGGAACGTGTCCAGGTGGGTTTTGAATGTCTCCAGTGAAGGAGACTCCACAACCTCCCTGAAGTCCCTGAGTCTGAATAACTTTCTCCACAGATGTGTAAGATAACTTCCCCCATTGGACAAGAAGAAATAAATTATTCCTATAAATATTTAAAAGATGGAATGGTGTAGAAAGATTTTTGCATTCATGACTTACCAATCAGAAGAAGTGGAAAAAGGTTTAGTTTTAATCTTCTTTAGGAACACACCTGGCAAAGCCATTGTACAAATTCAGCACAGCTTCATCACAAAGCCCATACATTTTTATGTAATCCAAAACACTGCATAGCATCTTGAAAACATTCTCACTTCCTCAAAATATGCTACAGATAGCATGTAAGTGCTAAGCAGATACACGCGTATCAATCTTTAGACCTTTCATAGTTACATAATCTGTAACGTAAAGGTTAGAATTAGAGATCAAGGAGATATTTACCTTCTCCTCAGGACTGATGGTGTCAACTTGACTGTCGAGCTTGATGACAGGACTTCTGGAGCAATGAGATATAAAGCCATTGCCACTCCCAGTGGCAGCATCATTTTTGCTCATGATGAATCACACTCCTGTGTGTTGCAACCAGTTAATATAATTATGGGACCTTTTGTGGAATCTATAATTTTTCCTTATCCCCAGCCCTTCAGAAATAACTCACAATTTTAAATTCATACTGAGATGTAAAAAAATTCTCCATAGTTATAGAAACTCCTAGAAACAAAGGACATTTCAAGGGGTTTATGTGTAAAAAATAAATTCTACCAAACTTGATGTGTGTTACTGTAAGAAGTGGCACTGTCAAGTGCAAACACGTATGTTTTTGTAATAGGAATTTATTATAAAACCTCTGCAGTTGACAGAGTAGCAAGGGAAAGAAAAATTTAAAATGTAAAAGTACCTACCTGACCAATTGTGACGTAAGTCAGTGGTTCCAGAGTGGAGGTAGGGCAGTTCCCTTTACCTGTTCCAGTCCTATGCCTCTCTTCAGGGATCCCTTCCAGGGAGCTTTTCCTACCTGTTTACTCCCCTAGATGGGAATTTTGTCCTTAATGGAGAAGAGGAACTTCACCATTTGTTCCAGAGTTTATTGAATATCCAACAGCTTGGACAAACAGTAGCACAGCACTGCAGTGCCAGCTGTGCATACCGGGTATGCTGCAGCTGAGTGCTCTGCAGTCGTCACAGTGATGCAGCACAGGTTGTGTGCACTTGTATCAACCACATGGTATGTGCAGACTAGCTCTGCTACATGCTGTGCTTCCTGCAGGGACACTGCAGCTAGGGGCTTGCCATGCATCATCTCCATTTCCTTAGGTTCTCCTGATGGAAATATGAGAGCCCTGTTCCTCTCCTGAGGATTCCTGATGTACCTTCTGCAAATGAGGAAGACGTTTGTGGCACAAAAGGCAAAACATAGAGAAGTTATCCCTGTCCACATAACCTTTTTTTCAAACCTTGCATTCTGTAGATGTGTTTACAGGAAAGCTGGGGGAGTTTTGTTCAAGCAGCCTTCCCACAAGACATTGATGTGTCAGCTGCTTTTAGCCCAGGATTTCACATTCCTCCTCATTTTTATCAGTAACTCTGAGGAAGTCTGGTTCTTGCCTTATGTTGCTACAGCAATGCCTAGGCAGCAAGGAAAGAGCAACCTAATGATAAGAAGTGGTATGTTTTTGGAGTTCTTTACCTTGAAAAAAATCATCCACATTTAGGTTGATATGGTGTGTGGGTGGGCAGGTATTTGCATGAGTGCATACAAGGACAAATACTGTTTTGTAAGAAGTAGTTACTGCTACTAACATATAGTTACATCCCAACCCAAACAGATACCAGGCCTCTTCAGTATTTAGGAAGCTCTGGAGGCTGCTTCATATCAGTCACAAGATACTTGTGAGTTAATTTGTATTCCTTTTTTGAATTTTCCTTTCTTTTTTTCTTAGAGGAAATAGAAAATAAAAACATGCTCTTCATTGAAGCCCTGAGGATAGGAAGGTTAGAGCTGCACAGATTTTGCCTGAAGTGAAGAAAGCTGTAGAGTCTGGTTTTATTTGCTTAATGTTGAGGCAAAAAAACTTCCCAAAGTAGTGTCTGGTTTGCTTTTCTGATTTCTGCTGAGGAAGTGGATGGTCTCCACATGGGCCCTTCAAAGCCAGACTCCTCAGCCTCTTACTCATGTTGTTGACTAAAGGAAACTGCAGATCAGAAGCAGGCAGATGCTGTTCCCTTTCTTGTAGTGGTGACCTGTTCTTTTCATTCTTATTTTTGACACTAGTCATAGCACAGTTGAGGGAAACTGTTGTGGAATAGAAGAGCAGAAAGTATGCAAGTAGGAGCATTCAGCCATCTCCCAGAACAGAAGGAGGTGGTTTCCAAGCAGCAAGACACAACTATGTGTTTATCTTTCAGGAATACTGGCAATTTTGAATCCAAATTAATACAGTGAATGGAATATTACAATCCTGGAACACAACAAATCATGTCCTTCAGGCAGAGGGGTGTGTGCCAGAGCCACAAGTCCCTTTAAATTTCATTCTACTGTGCATAAATCTGTCAAGGTGAAGTTCAAGTGTTCTAATATGCTAGCACAGTGGAACACTATGCTGCTAGCCCTGGTTAGTTTTCTGGTACTTTTGAGCTTTTAACTGTCTTCAAAAAAACAGTCTTCTTTGTTGTTGTTTGTTATTTCTCTGTTTCTTTAGGTGTTTCTGTTCATACTACATTTTGAGTTACCCTGGAGGTTAACTGTCACTCTATTGCTCCATTTGGTGGAGGTTTGTTTTGCACGGAACATTTTCTATCAATGGATGAATTATAGCTAAAGAAGTACCTGGACTGGCATTAATTCCCAGAAAGAAGCATGTTCTGCTGCTCTTCTAGTCTATTCCTTTGAGTAGTTGATACCCTAGAGGCAAGGGATGCCATCCAGAGGGACCTTGACAGGCTGGAGAGGAGGGCCAATGCCAACCTCATGAAGTTCAACAAGGCCAAGTGCAAGGTCCTGCACCTGGGTGGGCACAACCCCAGGCACAAATAGAGGCTGGGGGAAGAATGGCTGGAGAGCAGCCCTGAGGAGAAGGACTTGGGGGTGGTAGTTGATGAGAAACTCAACATGAGCCACCAGTGTGTGCTGAAGCCCAGAGAGCCAACCTCATCTGTAACTTATTCTGTGATTCTATATTTTCTGCTCTTCTAGGTTAGTATAATGCAGTCTAGAGAGTGGCTTAGACAGGCATAGTTCTCTAATGGGCGTGTCTGGGAAACAAGAGTTTTTGCTCAAATAGATTGAAGAACCTCTTGCATTGTAGGTTCTGAGGAGACTCAGCATGCAAATAACTGCTGAGAAAGACAAAAAAGCTCATCCTGCCTTTGGACAGGGAGCTGCACTAGGACTCACTTTGGACAGCTAGTTGGACTATTATCCCTCCTATCTCCCTTCTTGCTCCTGGAAAACGCAAAGGGAAAATGAAGAAGATTGAAGGTGGTCATGGTAGTCTCAAAATGAGAAGACTGTCTTTATCCCTTTGGAGGACAAGCCTCCAAACAGGAAAGGATAAATAAGGAGAATTTTTTGAAAGGTTACAGAGAAGCAGTTGCTGAGACACATTGTGTGTGGAGAGGAAGATGAAGATGTAAAAGCACTGTAAGTGCAAAAGAAGTGGCAGATTTTGTTTCAAAGTTAGACTGCTCTGGAGATCATGCAGATTTCAAAGACAACCCTTGTACCTGGTGGTCAGATCTTGTGATGTTAAAGTTGCCCTCAGGCATGGAGGAGCAGATCACAGACTGAGCTGCTTCCTACCCCTAAAATTTCCCACATTTAGGTAGTACTGAAAACAAGGCCACATCCTTAGGGACAAGTTTTGTTCAGCACTGTTTGCCTGTTTGCAGTCATTTTGGATTAAAGTCTCAAAATTCTTGTTAATTTACCAGTGAACAACATGAAACACATTTCTATTAGTGCTTCTCATGGCCTTGGGGCCATGGCCAAGGGAATGATAACTGCTGTGCATAAATTATAAAGTGCAAAGAGTTTTTATTACATGGGTGGGATAAGTAGAGGACAACCAAAACAAGGAACAAGGGATCCATCAGTGATGGATCAGCAGAACACAATTTTACAGCAAGAAGCAATGACTCCCTGGGTACAGAACAGACCATCAGCATGTCCCTTGTGATTATTCTTTGCTGCAAGTGCACTGGAAGAAGAAGCCTGGTTGGCTACAGTTCCCCCTTGGCTTTTTTCTCACTGTTTTCAGCCGTAATGTTTCTCTTGCTGTCAATGTCTGCAGGACACAGCAGGGAAGCAGATTCTTGTTGAGAAACCAGAGGCTGATCTCAGGCTTGACAGCAAAGGCTCTTCTTGTTCCTTTCATCTGACAAAATGCACATTCTGCTACCACTTTGACACTGCTCAGGTGGTAATTACAGAGTACCTGGTGTGTCTGTGGTTCCCTGTAATAAAGGTACCATTGGATAAATAGAGTTGATGAATAGCAAGAACAAAACAAAGACTCCTGTCAGGATTCTTACTGAGCCAAGGGCCACAAGGGCCCACCCTATTTGCCAGACATCTGCTAAGTAAGCATCACAAATAATAACAAACCTTATGCATCATATGAGAGCAATTAGATTGATAAAGCATCCGTGGTAATCCACAGCAACTTTTGCAGGACAGAAAAATGCCTCTTACCTTGAAAAAGGGGGAAAGACATCAGAAGTTGTTGATGGTCTCAGCTCACTTGGGAAGCATCAGGAGAGCAAAGTCTGATATTGTCATTTTGGGGCTGTATGAGTCAAGAACCTAGTGAAAAGCAATTACCTTCTAAATTACACTGCTGAATTAATTACTGAGTTAATTGGCAAGAGTGCAGAAGTTGATGAGTGTCAGCTTTGCAGAGACTTGGGCCACCTCATCTGGTCATTCAGCTTTCTGGGGAAAAGGTGATCTCAACACTGCTTTTTAACTCCTGAGCTTCTTTGTGCACCAGAAGCCTTTCCATTATTGCAATGGACCCCTTTACTCTCCAGGGAGATTTAGATATGATGCAAAACAGCATCCCAGATTTTTTCATCTTTAATTCATTTATCTTGTTGGCATCCAAAAAATCCTCCAGCAACGCAGCCAGTTCTGTCTGTTGTACCTTCTCTGCTCACACCCTTTATCACCTGCTCATGAGCCGTGGCTAACAGGGAATAATATTTCTAAGCAAGTATGTCTGCATGTGTCTTCTTAACTGGCTTCCACAGAGCAAGGGGTTATGGCTAGACAGATAAATACATCTGCATGATGAGCCTGTTTCATAATGCTGGCTGATCCAGGCTTTGTGACTGGTCTCATTCACAGTGTCTCTGGATATCATTCCTTTGTGGCAGTTTAAATCACTTTATGTTAGGTTTTGTTACTTAAATAACAAACACAGCAGTTTTTTTAAGCTGTGAGATTCAGAATGTCCATCAATATTCCTCTCCTAGCTCTATGTCAAGTAGCTAAACTTCCTTTCAGCTCAATGCATAGCTTATCTTGTCAGTCCTCATTGTGGGATGCAGTGATGAAG